GAACTGTCTCACATGGTTTATATCCTCCTGAGACCCAGCTATGGAGTTTTTGCCTCTGTAGTGGACATTATATTTGAGTGCATTTCTCTGAGACCTCACATGGCACAGTTTTAAGTCTGGATGTCCTGCACAGAGCACATTCAGGGCTTTCCAGAGATACCACATGATTGGATGGTGACCGCTCCCTCTCCTTGGTTTTTTAAAAATGGCTGACATTAATTTAGTGATCAAATTGTACATCCTTATGGAAATATGATGATATTTTTTAATTACAATTTAAATCTCATTCATTTTCAAATTGTTTGTCATAAATCAACATCTCGGGAAAATGTTATGGGGTTTCAAATCAAAATATGACCTTCTGTTACGAAACAGGACATGATTTCATACATGTCCACTGTAGAGGACACCAGGACTGAAAGCATGTTTATTACACATTCTGGGAGACAAAAGAATTGAATAGGAAGATAAAGTGCATATGAGTATTCTTAGGAAATATTAGATATTATTATGAAAATCTGGCCAATTACTACTCCCATTATTACACTTCTTTTTTCAACATGCTGTCCCAACAGCACTTTAATATGCAAATTAGATACAGTGTATAGATAACATTGTGCTTAATGGGAAACCCAGTTTATGGAATTTTTACACACATATCGCATAAAGCAAAATGGTATATCAAATCATTTTGTTATATATATTTTATAACATAGTTGAGAACCATCCTTAAACAAAGTTAGGTATAAAAAAATCCTGAAACCTAAAAATTGATTGGTGATTTAAAAAAAATTCCCATTGTTTTTGCCTTTTGATGTCTATTCTTATCATTTTATGTCCTGGTGTCCTCTACAGAGCACATAGCATAGCATATAAATAAAATATAATGTTTCAAAAATGTTATTTTACCATATTTTTCTTACGCTCTAAACAATGTAATGACATGAAAAAATACTAAATTCACAAAGATTTTTATTTCTGGTTCTCAGGAGGATAAATATATATATATATATACAAATCTGGCTCTAACCCTCTCTTTTCTTTATTCACGGTTGATCTACACTGTAAAAAAAAATCTGTAAAATTTACAGTAAAAAAACGGCAGCTGTCAGAATTTTACCGTTGAATCGAGTTTGAGTTTGAATCAATCGGAGCGGTTCCAGTGTAAACGACTCACTCGATTGAATCGGTTTGTCTGTTCCTCTTTTCTCTGTCTTCAGCCATGTTCACACTGTCAGCACCAATACTGGCTTAGCCAGCAGTAGTTTTATGACATTAGCTGAAATAAGCGAAAAAAGTGTGATGTTTACAAATAAAATATCAATATTTCCAATAAATAACTGAGAGATTAATGTTGCTGATTGTATTAGTCTATAGAGTGATAGTCAATGTAAAAAGAGCAGATGAGAGAAGCTGATGGATATAAAACAGGGCGACTCTACTCAATTCTACACCCTTGGAAATAAGATTGAATATGCATTTTGAGTAATATTTTGTAATGCATAAAATAAAAAATCACATGCATCCGACACCATCTATAAAATACGACACAAGACAAAACATGAGCCGCTAGTTAAAGTCTAAAAATGTCCAGTGATTTACCAAATGATGCTAAGATTTGATCTGAATATTTCATATACAGAAATGCACATGTTGTATGATGTCAGGCCATTGCTAATAGATGTGGAGGTGCAGCATCCATATTTCATGAGGACGCTCCGGGAGGTTCCTGTTCAATGCATACAGAAGAACTACATCCTTCCTGTAGATGTGATTTCACAGAGCTAAGCATGAGACAGCATAATTAGCATTTCAAAGACATTTCACATTTAAATTAAACATCATATCAAATCACATTTGTAATACAGAAGAGTAGGCTAATATTATTATACAGAACACACATTATATTTAATGCATTATTCATGCTGTGTTAAATATTATATAATAATATTACTGTCATATTAAAAATAAAAAAGTATATCCTAAAGTTATGGTGTAAATTAATATACCCTGTTTTTACATCATTCTGTGAGTGTATGGCTTGAACATTTTTCTTTATGAGTGAATATTGTTTTTTATTCAGATATATTCAATTTAATTCCAATTTAAAACTATTAAAATACATAAAATTTGACAAAGAAAATCCATATATGATTTACAATAGAGAAATAGTGCTAACTGAATTATTAATATTATTATTATTATATTTAACAATATGCAACGTAAATAATATGGTCATATTTAAATAATAAAAATAATTAAATATTATTTCTATTATTATTAAATAATTAATTATAGCTATATTATGATATTTAACAACATGCAACGTTAGATATTATAAAAGATTGTCATTTAAATAATTATTAAAAATTAAATATAATTTATATGATTATTAAATATGGATATTAATATAATATTTAACAGAATGCAATGGTAAATATTATATAATAATATTGTTGTCATATTTAAATAATTAATACAAATTAAAAACATTTTTATTATTATTAAATAATTAACTATTAAATAATAAAAAAATATATATTTTAAATAATTAAATATAAATTAAATATATATATATATTATTATAATATTTCACAATATGCAATGTTAAATTATTATGGATATTATATGTTAAATATTATATAATAATATTATTTTAATTCTAAACATATAATTTAGTGGAAATTAATCCACTATATATGATTTTTACATTATTATGAGGGTGTTTATGGCTTGAAGTCGAAATGAATAATTCATATTTGTGTGTAGTCGTTGATTTGCTGCTGGTGAGTCAGTCCAGCCCTCTGCACCTGCTCTCCATGTGCGCCGGCTCTGAGCCGCTTCTGTGCCGCATTCACGCCGGAAAAACATGATGATGATCAGTGAGTATCACTTCTATCTGTCAACCTCAACACGACACGATCATATGTCAGCTTTTATAACGAACACGAATGACTAAAGAGCTGTAGTAATGACTTGAAGCCTGTGGGAATCCTGACACAAAGCATGAGACGCTGAAACAAAGGCAAGCGCTGTGTTTGCTTTCCTCTGAGTGATGCCAGTGAGAAGCTGATGAGAGTGAGATGTTGACACTCCGAGAGCAGCGAGCATGTCAACTCCTGGTCTCTCCGAGCTGTGCACACACTGTTAGGATCGCTTGATTTCGCTCTGATAGGGAAAGGTGTGCTCATCATGAAATTCCCGCTGGAGAATCCGAGGAAGCAGGGGGACTGGGACCCTGAACAAGGTTAGTTGTGTCACTTGGTTCTTTCACTCAAGTTGAGCTGATTTATTTACAACGTGTGCGGGTTTGTTGCTCTTTTTAACGAGAAAACATCTTTAATTTCAATATGGTCTGATAGATTATTATTATTTTTTTTTAATAATCAGATTTAATATTCTTTCTTTCTTTCGTTCATTCTTTCTGTGTGTGTATATATATATGTATATATCAAAATAAAAATATATTTATAAAATATATATCTTTATTTATAAATATTTCTGGATTGAATATCTAGGCTACATGTATATCAAAAGAAAATATAAAGGATTTTTTTTTATATATATGAAGTATATTTCTATACTTCATAAGTATAAGTATATTTTATTTATATAAAGTATATTTAATATTTTTTTTATTTTGAATATAATGCCTGGATTATACTTCATTCAAAAATATATTTACAATTATTATATATTTTTAAACCATTAAAGCTGAAATAAGGCAGTATGACAAATAATACTATAATTTCTATTCAATAATACAATTTCAATAATAGCTCCTTTTTCATATTCCTGTAATGAACATTTTGGTTTAAACTTAGCTTTATTTTCATGAAAACAATTTCACAATGCAAAAAGTCTTAATGCTCTAAAGTCTTAAAGTTCTAAAAGTCAAAAACACTGTAGATGGTAAAAAAAACATTTACACAGTAAAATAGAACTAAGTAGAATATATATGTCTGCAGAAAATATATTTTCACAGGAAAAAAATTACAAACAAGAGTCTCTTTAATATCTCAGTTCTTCTAGACAGAAATGAAATGAAATGGAGAGCAAACAGAGACTTTTACTGAAGTCTCCAGAAAAACAATCCCATTATTCTGACATCTCGTCTAGAATTTCAGAATGTCTCAGACTGTTCTCAGATCTGCCAATTCTGCAATCAAAAGTCAGAGATCTCAATATGAACTCAAATATTTCTCATCAATGTCTTTTCAGAACAATAATCTAGGATGCTCTCAACATAAAATGAGCTCTATACTAATATTTGTCTCATTTATGTGTATCTTAATAAATAAAATATCGACCAGCATTATTTTATCATCATATTATAATTTTTGTTAATATTTTGAATTTGATTTTATTTTTATATTTTCTGTTTTCACTTTAATTTTAGTAAAACTTTGTATTTTTATTTCAGTTTTAGTCATTGTAGTACATCAGATTAAACTAAACAACTAGCTGAAATAAAATGTTTTTTTTTAACATTTTATTTTTTTATTAATTCCCCCCTCCCCTCCTCAAGTAACAAAAATTACTAAAAGTTTTGGTTTTAGTTAACAATAATAATCCTGTCTGAGACAAAAACCTCCTTTAGGTCTTTGTAAGCAGTAAAAGCTAAAAGATCTAGAACAGTGAAAGTAAAGCTTCTGGAAACAAACGCTCCTCAAAAGATCCTGAGGATCAGATTTGAGACTCTAAAACATGATTGATGGAGAATCAAGTAAAGCCAAGAGATACATTACTCTAATGAAATGTTTGGGGAAAAATAAGATAAATTCTCATGAAATCAAATTCACAATACATAAAGTCTTAATGGTCCTAAAAACTTGTGTAACAAAATAGAATTTGTCTTTTTTTTTCATTTGATTTTGGGGCAAAATATGACATTACCAATAAAGAATGCACTCAATGTCATAAAGTAGATTGATATTTAAAGCAGGATTCATTGTAAAGGCTTCTTTGGAGACACTCGCATTGTAGTATATCTAAAGACACAAAATGAGCATTTCCTTCCTCAACCACACATCGCTCGTGACGATACATTGATGTGTAAAGACACAAAACGATCGGTCTGTGCAAGAAACTGAACAGTATTTATATTGATTTTTACCTCTGATTTTCACCGCAATGTCCGAACTATCTGTCCTGAGCGCGTTCTTGTCAACAGCCGGCATGTGACCTGTCTTCTTATTCTTCTTGCTTTATAAGTTATATTTATAATTTAAATATTTATATTGAATATTTTTAAGCTTATAAGGGCATTACCGCCACCTACCTCTCAAATGGACATTTGACACTCCTAATTGAGATTGCAGATAGAGTGTCAATGGTCCATTTGAGAGGTAGGTGGCGGTAATGCATTTATAAGTTTGTGATCTGCCGTAAAGCAAGAAGAATAAGAAGACACATCAGACGCCAGCTGCTGAGAAGAACGCGCTCAGGACAGATAGTTTGGACATTGCGGTGAAAATCAGAGGTAAAAATCAATATAAATACTGTTCAGTTTCTTGCACAGACCGATCGTTTTGTGTCTTTACACATCAATGTATCGTCACGAGCCGCAGGGTTTCATTTGGTTTTGTTTGTGTATGTTTTTTGACTCTCAAAGCCGTGATTCCCATCCACTTACATTATATGACTGACAGACTGCAACGGTTTGTGTTAAAAAAATTCGTTTGTGTTCTACTGAAGAAACAAAGTCACCTACATCTTGGATGCCCTGGGGGTAAGCAGATAAACATCACATTTCCATTTTTGGGTGAACTATCCCTTTAATTACTCACCCTCATGTGAACACAAGTTAAGATATTTCTGATGAAATCCGAGAGCTTTCTGACCCTGCATAGACAGCAAGGGAACTACCACATTCAAGGTCTAGAAAGAGAGTAAAGAGATAATTAAAATAGTCAATGTGACGTCAGTGGTTCAACCGTAATGTTATGAAGCTACAAGAAAGTTTTTTTTGCACGCAAAGAAAACAGAAATAACGACTTTATTCAACAATTTCTTCTCTTCCGTGTCAGTCTTCAACGTGCGTTCACGAGAGTACCACGACGCATGCGTGTGCATGCCTCTGCTTGTAAACTATATATGTATATATACAGTATATATATATATATGTGTGTGTGTGTATGTGTATGTATGTATGTATGTATGTATGTATGTGTATATATATATATATATATATACTGTATTTTATTTGTGTGTGTGTACGTGAAAATAAAGCAAAAATACTGAAATAAATATTTTATTTCAGCTATTTGCCAAGGAAACATTTCTATTTTTTTTTTTCCACGTACCCACACGTATGTATGTATGTGTATATATATATATATATATATATACTGTATTTTATTTGTGTGTGTGTACGTGAAAATAAAGCAAAAATACTGAAATAAATATTTTATTTCAGCTATTTGCCAAGGAAACATTTCTCATTTTTGCTTAGGTTAATTTAAAGTATTAAAATGACTAAAACTGAATAATAATAATAAAATTAACAATTTAAAATGAACTGTATAGGCATACTTTTTAAATGTCAAAAACTCACAACAAAATTACTAAAGCTTTAAAACAAAAAAATTAAACTGAATACCAATTATAATAAAAATGAATACTAAATAGTATATTAAACTAAAATAGTATATCAGTGAAACTAAAATAACACTGTCACATGATGAACGCATTACATTCAGTGTTTAAATTATCATGTGACCATTCTACAGTCTGACCTAGTTTACTGAGTTCAGTCAAACCTGACAATAACCGAATACATAAGTGATAAGATGTCACTTTGATACACGCCTACATTCTTCTTCATTTCTTTCCTATTTACGTCACGCAAGCATCCTTTGTGACTCAAAGTGTGCTCTACATCTGGTAATTAAGCTCAAACCAAAAAAAATATTAAAAAATTCCATTTCCAGTCAAGACGGACCCCTTGATAGCTAATAGGCTCTGAGATAATGAATTATTAATAGTTTGTCCCTCTGAAGGCAGAGTCTCCTGAGAGCAAAGCCCTGCTGGAGCGTCAGACATCTTCATAGTTCACATGAAGCAAAACCTGTCCGTGTGCTATAACAGCTCACAGAAAAATCACAAATCAGACCTGTAAAGCCTGACATATGAAATAATAATCAGAAAAATCTAATGTTTTGAAATGGAACAGTTAATTGAACCTTTATGAATTTTTTGTTGATCAGGCTTTTTTTTTTGGCTCATATAGTCTGATGAAGTGAGAATATGGAGGAAAAACAGCTCAGTTTTATTCAGAGACTCAAACCGAGTAAAAATATACAATTTCGTGCAGATGCTGATATTTATATGGACAAAAAGTGATGGAATTCTGCTGCTTGTGATGTAAATCAATGAGATCTTTCTAACAGTAGAACAGATACTGACATAAAATGATCTAAATATCAGTTGTCACTCTATATCTTCAGTAATCTGTCTCAGTAAGATGAGATTGAAATGATCCAAACATATAATGCAGTGATTGAGAGATGAAGAAATAACCGTGAGATGTTCTGGAGGCTTGTGAAGATCACTCCTCCGCTGAGGAACAGTGAAAGTAAAGCTTCTGGAAACAAACGCTCCTCAAAAGATCCTGAGGATCAGATTTGAGACTCTAAAACATGATTGATGGAGAATCAAGTAAAGCTGAGCTGCTTCAGTGCAGTAAGTGTTCATCTGGAGATATTACTGCAGTTATTCTGACCTTTACTTGATCAAAATCAGTCCAGATTTGACAGCAGAAAGACACGTGAAGCTCCAGCTGAAGCTGGACGTTTGTACAGTTACACCAAAATAGTTTTTACTGGATAAAAAACTCTAAACTATCAATCAGACGACAGAAGGCATGGAGGAGATTGTGTGTGAAACAGGTTTAGCAGCAAAGTTTTGATCATGAAATGTGCATTTCAAATATGATACAATAGGCTTTATAGGGTTAATATCTCCTTTGCTTCTTCTGAAACTGAGATATTAATGATATTAATGGGGTCCTTTTCTCAGAAGAAACATCTTGAGAGGAAACAGACTCAAGCAAAAGTCTCTATTTAATCAAACTGCTGTCTAGGACAAACAATTGAGACAATGTGCTATAATTGGTTCCAAAACAAACATTTTGTAGGGCATGCAAAGCATCTTTATTAGGGCTGTCAGTAACGATTATTTACGTTTTTTTGTGGTAATAAAATAGACCTATAGAAATAGACTTTTAAAATAACTTAAAATACTTATATAATAGCAATGAGGGAATAATAATTGGTTTAAATAAAGTATAGCAAGTGATTATATGGTTTTATTGAACAAAACTGGTAATGCATTATAAACACTAGAACTAATGTACATTATGCATTATAACAAATACCTGCAGAGGGCGCCCACGGCCTCACGATTGTTTTTACACTTTACAGCACAATCTAATCCTTGATTAATATTGACTAAACAACATTTAATTAAAATGTCCACTTAATCTTTAATATTTGGCCAGATAGAAATACTACAGCCTCTTGAACAAGAACATGTGGACATCAAAACATGCAAAGCCTTAGAAAACGGTCCAATAATGCTTTCCATGTATTCTCGTTCATGGAATGTGCCACTTCCGGTATTTTGCCGGTTCAAAATGCAATCAAATACTCAAATTTAATTGAGGAATTGTGACAGCCCTGATGTTTATACTGAAGATTCAGCTCAAAAAAGCCTTTAAACTCGCATTTAGTCTGAGCAGAATCAGATGCACGGCGTGTCAGTCATGTCGAAAAGCCTCAGTCCTGTCATGCGAGACCAGCTGGCTGTTGTCGGTGTTGTTGTTCTTGGCAGTGAGAAGGACTGACTCAAAAATCTTCCCAGCAGGATGCTTGGCGAGTCCTACGGGAGCAGAAGAAACATTACTCAGAAAACCATTTTCTTGCTGACAGCATGTTGTTTTATTGTGTTTTTCTCTTTGATATCATCTAACTTATGTATTGCTGTAGTTTATATGGATTGATTGCTGACCGCTAATTTCTACTCCTTTACTTTTCTGTTACAAATATCCCTCTTTCTCTGGGTACAGATATATATTGTACTACTTTACGATTACGAAAAGCAAGATTTGGGTGACTAACATAAAAACAGCATCACCACAGTCTGCTCAGACAGGACTTACCGATATATTGACTAAATTTACTCAGCCTAATCCATTTATACTACTTATTCTTTAAATAGTTTGAGAAGAGCCACAAAAACTGATTGAATTGACTAACAGACGAAGCAGACCGATTTTCAGTGCAGGTTTTTTAGACAATGAAACCAAGCGGGTGGCTTGACATCATATTGACATCACTTAGCAATTAAATCCAAGTCTAATGAATTACTTTGAGAAGCGTGATGTTCTTAAAGTGGCTGCCATTGTGCAGAGTGACTCAGGGGAAATGGCTTTGTAAAATGATTTGCTAATTTTGTTATACTTTGGTCACTTACTGTCAATGAAGCACTTCCAGAATAGCTGTTTGAGTCTTTTTCTGGATGTGCATCTTTTCCCAGCATGCAGTAGATGCGGTCAGCGCTGGCGTGAGTCCCATTGGAGACACGTCCTATAACTCCAGCCACTGGGACCTCGGCAGCGCTTTCTTCTTTGCTGGAACTGTCATCACCACGATAGGTAAAATAAACTAACCTTCAAATGAGAACAGCAATGCATCTCAATAACACCTCTGAATTTGAAATACAGCACATTATGAGAAATAGTAAAATTTGTTGCAAATGCTGTTTTACATTGACCTTAAATGGTAAGCCAATGCTGTTTCATGTTGACTTTAAATGGCAAATGCTGTTTTGCGTTGATTTTTAATAGTAATATTTGTAGCAAATGCTGTTTCACATTGACTTTAAATGATAAATGCTGTTTTGTGTTGACTTTTAAAGGTGCGGTAAGCGATTTTTCAAAAACGCTTTAGAAAACTGATTTGGGCCGAATAGCAAAACAAACTTGTAGCCAATCAGCAATAAGGGGCGTGTCTACTCATGATGTGGAGGAGAGCGCGTTCAGTCCGAGCCGAGCGACAGAAAGATAGAGATGGCGGATAAAAAACAAAAGAGGAAAACGTCTGCGGAACAAACTAAGGCTTAAGGCAATAAGGCAAGAAGTAGGACCCGTGTAAATATAGGATCATTTCCAGCGCTGGAGAGAACTCAAGGAGCGGAAGGCCTGCGATCGGACGCCGAGGTTGCTTTGTTTGTTCTCGATAGGTGAGTAACACCGTGTCTGCGCCGCAACAGCTAAAGTCTGTCTAGTACACTGGACACGACAAAGCGACTTTCTGATTTTCAAAAATTATTTGAAATTTGTGTCAATACGTCATAAATAGAACGCAGCAGCAGTTTTCTGTCGGGGATTTGTTGTGTCGTGCCGTGCCGCATCCAGCGTAGACCATGGTGCTGTTTAACATTGACTTTAAATGGCAAATGCTGATTTACTTTGACTTTAAATGGCAAATTTTGCGACAAATGTTGTTTTACGTTGACTTCAAATGTTAAATGCTGTTTTGTGTTGACTTTTTATAGTAAATACTGTTTTGTGTTGACTTTTAATAGTAAAATTGGCAGCAAATGCTGTCTTACTTTGACTTTAAATGGTAAATGCTTATTTACTTTGACTTTAAATGGCAGAATTTGCAGCAAATTCTGTTTTACGTCGATTTAAATGGTAAAATTAGTTGCAAAAGCTTTCACGTTGACTTTAAATGGTAAATGCTGTTTTGTGTTGACTTTTAATAGTAAAATTAGCAGCAAATGCTGTTTTATGTTGATTTAAATGGTACAATTAGTTGCGAAAGCTGTTTCACATTGACTTTAAATAGTAAAATTAGCAGCAAATGCTGTTTTATATTGACTTTTAATAGTAAATTTTTTTGCTTACTTTAAACAATGCATTTTTTTCATGTTTTACTTCCAACAAGATTTGCACTGACCTTCATAAGTGTAACTGCACAACACATGAGACTTTCAGCCCAGATCTCATCTCTCACTGAAACTCTTTAGTTTGTTGTTGTCTGAACTTCCCCTTTGTTCAACAATCTATAATTACTGCCATGTTCAATCGCTGGAAGCCACCAATTGTCTCCCTCTGGATCTATGAATGTGGTTTTAATAGAGGGGGTCAACTACAGCGGTTTGTTTTATAACGATTAAATAATCTCGTCTTCTCCGCCTACATCTACAGGCTATGGAAACATCGCCCCCAGCACTGAGGGCGGCAAGATTTTCTGCATCCTTTACGCCATATTTGGCATCCCTCTGTTTGGCTTCCTCTTGGCCGGGATTGGTGATCAGCTAGGGACCATGTTTATGAAGAGCATTCTGAAGGTGGAGAAAGTTTTCAGGGTGAGTCAGCTTGTTTTGGAATATTCTACTGAGGATACTTAATTTCTGGTTATATAAATATTTCAGTTCACCTGAAATTTCTTCTGCCTCCCTTCATAGCAAAAACACAAGCAAATCAGTCAGACCAAAATCCACGTCACCTCCACCATACTCTTCATCATCGCTGGCTGCATCATTTTTGTCACCATCCCAGCAGTGATTTTCAAACACATCGAGGGATGGAGTACTTTAGAAGCCATTTACTTCGTTGTCATTACTCTCACAACCGTCGGCATTGGAGATTATGTAGCAGGTAGGAGCACCGATGAGGGCCTTTTACATCATTTTGCCTAGTACAGTCAAGAGTTGCTTAATTTTTATAGCAAATGCTGTGTTATGTTGACTTTAAATGGTCAATTTTGTACAGTCAAGAGTTGCTTAATATTTTACAGCAAATGCTATTTTACGTTGACTTTAAGTACAAACCCGATTCCAAAAAAGTTGGGACACTGTACAAATTGTGAATAAAAACAGAATGCAATGATGTGGAAGTTTCAAATTTCAATATTTTATTCAGAATACAACATAGATGACATATCAAATGTTTAAACTGAGAAAATGTATCATAAGGGGAAAATAAGTTGACTTTAAATTTCGGCATCAACACATCTCAAAAAAGTTGGGACAAGGCCATGTTTACCACTGTGTGGCATCCCCTCTTCTTTTTATAACAGTCTGCAAACGTCTGGGGACTGAGGAGACAAGTTGCTCACGTTTATGAATAGGAATGTTGTCCCATTCTTGTCTAATACAGGCTTCTAGTTGCTCAACTGTCTTAGGTCTTCTTTGTTGCATCTTCCTCTTTATGATGCGCCAAATGTTTTCTATGGGTGAAAGATCTGGACTGCAGGCTGGCCATTTCAGTACCCGGATCCTTCTACGCAGCCATGATGTTGTAATTGATGCAGTATGTGGTCTGGCATTGTCATGTTGGAAAATGCAAGGTCTTCCCTGAAAGAGACGACGTCTGGATGGGAGCATATGTTGTTCTAGAACTTGGATATATCTTTCAGCATTGATGGTGCCTTTCCAGATGTGTAAGCTGCCCATGCCACACGCACTCATGCAACCCCATACCATCAGAGATGCAGGCTTCTGAACTGAGCGCTGATAACAACTTGGGTTGTCCTTGTCCTCTTTAGTCCGGATGACATGGCGTCCCAGTTTTCCAAAAAGAACTTCAAATTTTGATTCGTCTGACCACAGAACAGTTTTCCACTTTGCCACAGTCCATTTTAAATGAGCCTTGGCCCAGAGAAAACGCCTGCGCTTCTGGATCATGTTTAGATATGGCTTCTTTTTTGACCTATAGAGTTTTAGCTGGCAACGGCGAATGGCACGGTGGATTGTGTTCACCGACAATGTTTTCTGGAAGTATTCCTGAGCCCATGTTGTGATTTCCATTACAGTAGCATTCCTGTATGTGATGCAGTGCCGTCTAAGGGCCTGAAGATCACGGGCATCCAGTATGGTTTTCCGGCCTTGACCCTTATGCACAGAGATTGTTCCAGATTCTCTGAATCTTTGGATGATATTATGCACTGTAGATGATGATAACTTCAAACTCTTTGCAATTTTTCTCTGAGAAACTGAAATTTTTCTGATATTGCTCCACTATTTTTCGCCGCAGCATTGGGGGCATTGGTGATCCTCTGCCCATCTTGACTTCTGAGAGACACTGCTACTCTGAGAGGCTCTTTTTATACCCAATCATGTTGCCAATTGACCTAATAAGTTGCAAATTGGTCCTCCAGCTGTTCCTTATATGTACATTTAACTTTTCCGGCCTCTTATTGCTACCTGTCCCAACTTTTTTGGAATGTGTAGCTCTCATGAAATCCAAAATGAGCCAATATTTGGCATGACATTTAAAAATGTCTCACTTTCAACATTTGATATGTTATCTATATTCTATTGTGAATAAAATATAAGTTTATGAGATTTGTAAATGATTCCATTCCTTTTTTTACACACAATTTGTACAGTGTCCCAACTTTTTTGGAATTGGGTTTGTAGTAAAGTTTACTGTTTTACATAAATTTGGTAAATTTGGTTGCAAATGCTGTTTTATGTTGAAATTAAATGTAAACAGTTTTATGTTGAATTTAAATGGTTAAATTTGCTGCAAATGCGGTTTTATGTTGACTTTAAAGTGTTAAATGCTATTTTACATTGAATTTAAATGGTAAATGCTGTTTTAAGTTGGCTTTAAAGTAGTAAATGCAGATTTATCTTGAATTGAAATGGTAAAATTTGCTGCAAATGCTGTTTTATGTTGATTTTAAATGGTAAATGTTGTTTTACATAGGATTTTTAAGGGTAAAATTTGCTGCAAATGCTGCTTTACATTGACTTTAAATGGTAAAATGCTGTTTTATGTCAAATTTAAATGGTAAAATTGGTTGAAAATATCGCTTTACCGCTTTTGGATAAAGGCATCTACATAAATGAATAAATGTAAATGTCATTTTTACCTGACAGCTTCTCAAAATACTTTTCCTGGCAATTTTGTCTTTTGACCATGTTCAGACCTTGTTTTGACCTTTTGGAATGGAATTGAACGGAATGCTTTGGACACTCCATTCCAATGGAATATGTGGTGAAGAGTATTAAAACTGTTTCATTATTTTATAGGAGGAGATCGAAAAATAGAATACATGAAATGGTACAAGCCTCTGGTCTGGTTCTGGATTTTGGTGGGTCTGGCGTATTTCGCAGCGGTCCTGAGCATGATTGGAGACTGGCTCAGGGTTCTGTCCAAGAAAACAAAAGAAGAGGTATGATATGTCAAACATGATCTCCAATATACAATACAGCATTATTTTACTGCATCAGAGCCCTATTTACTTTGTTCTACACATTCCTGGTCTTTCCTTTTCAGCTGATGATAACTAGGGTGTGTAGACTATTGGTTAATGCTAACCAGTAGGCAGGTAGCCAATGATTTGGCTGCTGTTGGTAATGTAGCCTTTCTTGTCAATAGTTTTTAATGCACTCATTTAATGCTGGTTAGTGCAATAAAGGTCATGGCAATAATGATAGATCTGATAAAGAAGTGTTACCACTGGGATACTTGAAGATGCTGTGAAGGGTGAACTTGACCTGCAACTTCCATTCAGATCCGACTCCATTCTGATGTGAAGCACACTATACACCATCTTTATCATGATTATATCAAGCTAGGTTGCTGTTAAAAGAAAACATTTAACTGTGAAATACATCATATTATGAAAAATGGATAATAAATGGTAAAATGCTGTTTATAAATGCTGTTATACGTTGACTTTAATTGGTAATTTTTTGTATAAATTCTGTTACGTTGACTGTAAATGTTAAAATAAGTTGCAAATGCAGTTTTACGTTGGCTTTAAATTATAAAATTAGTTGCAAATTATGTTTAGGTTGACTTTAAAGGTAAAATTTGTAGCAAATGCTGTTTTGCATTGGCTTTAAATGATACAATTAGTCGTAAATAATGTTTTAGGTTTACTTTAAATGGTAAGATTAGTTGCAAATGCTGTTTTACCTTCACTTTAAATGATAAAATTAACAATTAGCAATCTCAAGCAATGTTTTACATTGGATTTAAGTAGTAAAATTAGCTGTAAATTATATTGTATGTCGGCTTTAAATGGTAACGTTTAACATTAAGCACAGTACTGAATTGTTTTTAAATGTCACGCTCACACAGGTCGGAGAGTTTAAGGCCCATGCAGCAGAATGGAAAGCAAACGTCCGGGCAGAGTTCCGCGAGACACGGCGGCGCCTCAGCGGCGAGATCCACGACAAACTTCAGCGGACGGCCACCATCCGCAGCATGGAGCGCAGACGTCTGGGTCTGGAGCAGCGGGCGCATTCGCTAGACATACTGTCGCCTGAAAAGCGGCCCGTCTTCGATAGTCTGGACGCTGGGCGCTTTACGACCTCCTCACAAGAGAGCATTGACACTAAACTGAACAACCTGCAACTGAAGGCCGAGCGTGGTGAACAGCAGGCGTCCTCCGAGGAAAACATCTTTAACCACTTCGGCTCGCTCACCAAACTGGCCAAGCACCACAGGAGCAAAGATCTCTGCAGGAACATCCCGGAGGATGCCAGCAGGCTGGGCGACGTTCTCA